CGGCATCAGTTTTTGATCCTGAAACCCATGTATATCTCAGCCCTATTACAACGCCTTTCTTTACAACCGGTGTTTGGTTATAATTTTCCTGCAAATTGCATTCCACTACACTTTATAGTAAATCCTATGAAGTGCTTTGAGATATCTCCCCAACATGAGAGCCGCTGAATCAAATGCAAGAATTAGTATGCTGTTGCATTGCAGTCCCCACTCACGCACTTGCAATGCAGTGCAGTTGAAATGGCTGACGTCCAGTGCATTAGGCTGTCACTAACATCACTTCCTGTGTGGAAGTTGTCCATTTTAGCGTCCTGCATTTAAAAAAAAGGCTACGTTCCTATCATCAGTGGAGTCCTGTAGCTCAGCGGTTAGAGCACTTGCCTCACAAGCGAGAGGACCTGGGTTCGATTCCTGGGCACAGCAAAATGTTGGACAAGTTTTCAGACTCCACACACCTCTGTTTACCTAGCAATAGGTAGGAACCCGGTTATTAGTCGATTGGCGGATCGCTTTTCCAGAGGTAATAATTCCTTCAAAATAAAAATAATAATAATTGGGTCACTGCAATCCAAGACTGTTTGTGGGAGACTGCTGTGTGCAATTGGCTGCTGCATTTCGCCCACAAAATACAGTCAATTCACTTTACAGTATATTCTGTGAAGCGCTTTGAGGCATCATCAAATGCAAGGATTATTATCATATTATTATTATCAGATCACCAATGACATCACTTCCTGCTTTGTGCAGTCCTCAGAAGTTGTTTTTTTAAGACCGGGGAACTGGCCAGCGTGCAGGGGCCGAGCCATCCAGCTCACCTCACACAGGCACAGTGAGAACAGCTATCACAGTTCATAATAGTGTGAGTTGAGATTTTATGGATCAAACAATTGCATTATAATGGGGCTGCACTGCATTTCACTGTTAGTTCAGGAAATACTGATTTAACCCAACTTTTAAAGTTGAGCTAACACAGTAATCCTCAAACTGGTAATAATTATCAATGCACATACCAAATTTGTTCCCACTAAAATAATAGAAGCACAAAAAAAAATGATGTTTGAAAACAATTACTGGGAAATAACATGTTCAGAATGCATTATAGGTTTACCTCAATAGTCTGGGTAAAGTGTAGCATTAAAACACATAGAGTCAATCCGCAGACAGTTCTAGCTGTTCTCAGTCAATGCCGCAGTTGGGGCTCAGCTGACCTCGTGGGTAGCCAGAAAAATAATGATATGCATATCTAGATGTCGGTGAGGAAAAGAACAGATTCCCCATACATAAAATAGTATCCCCGTACATCAAGTAGTATGTACACTTTCACTGGCAAGGTTCACATGTGACCAACTGTGCAAGACACCAGAGGGCTGTGTACTAGATTGATTCGATCGAAAGAGAGATAGATAAACAAATAAGTAAATATGATGTGTTAAATATCATTGAATATTTATTGCTATATAATTATAATCTCTGACAATTGTGAAACTTTCAAAGAGCTCAAAGGTTAAATAATCTTTGCAAACCTACAAAACCATGAGAATCAGGATTTGGGATTTAATTTCACAGCAAATCAGCTTTTTACCAATTATTGCTTCATTGTCACTAATCTCACGCAAACCAAGTGTAGCCAGACTGGGCTCGCTGCCAGGCCATGGTTGGATTCAGTATGGAAAGAAGGAATTGAAGTGCAGAACCAGCACATCTTTGTACTCAGGAGCAGAAAAATCAGAAAATGAAAAGAAGCTGATTTTCAAACTACAATAAATTTAAAACAGAATGACAATTTAAATTTATTTTACATAAATGTTTTAACAGCAACAAATCACATTTGTATAGCGCATTTCACGTTGCGAGGACGCCCAAGACACTGGACAGTCAGGGATTTGACATGAGTGGGGGGTTGGGATCAGGAGGGATGGAGGGCAGGGATAGTAGGGTAAGAGGGTGGCCAAGGTGTGGTCAAAGAGGTCTTGAGACGTGTCTTGAAGGAAGCAAGAGAGGGAGCAAGGCGAAGGGACTGGGGATGGAGTTCCAAATGATGGGGGCAAAGAAGCTGACCGGATAAATCGTCATTGAGCCCTTTCCCCCTTGAGTGACAAGTTATCGGGGCTTTACTACTGTATATATATATTTCCTCCTGTAAACCAACACTAAACAAATTGCTATTTGATTAGTAGCACTTGCTTAGACTTTGTACACCATCAACAAGACCTGAGGTACTTACTATAATCAAGGATACCCGGAGAGAGAAACTCCCTTCTCTTTTCGAATAGTGCAGTGGGATCTTTGACTGGCAGAGGTGCACTGGAATGCTAGCAATAGATTCTGATTTCAAGGTTTTGATATGAGACTTGAACCACCAACAACCCATTGCCATCATAATCAATGGTACTCCTAATATGGCTTACACCCCCTTTGCCTGGAAATCTTGGATTTCTGTCCTTTCACTTGTAGCTCACCCAACTATAGACTTTGGCAAAGCTTAGATTCAGCATGACTCACTCTCCTCTTCTTTCCAGTGAGAGAAGGCAAGATAGTGCAATAAGGAGGATGACTTATTCCAGTACCTTTACAGTAAGAGAAAGGCCTCCACTAAACCTGGAGGAGGTGGAAAGCTTTCCTCTGTCCCTGTAGTGAAATGACTGAACTCAACACTCCACAGTGAAATAAATAAGTGAAATACACAGCTGTTCTTGATGTATTCTCCCCACATTGCAGACTTATTAAGAAGTGTTCTACCTAAGTGCAGGAGGACATCAAATTATACTGTCAGCACTTCCCACCTCAGGAGCAGGGCATAAAACTGAACCAGGTGGCAAGCTACCTGAACAAAATGGCATTTATAGCCCAGTTATGACAAGCAGTGAACAATTAATCACTCAGAGACTGTGCTGTATTATTGGGTGCAGTGAGCTGTGAAAGGCTGTTGCACTCAGCAAATATAGGAGTCCCTGGCTTGTCTTTCAGTCATCGTGTAGCTCTGACTCATTATTCACAAGAAAAAAATACAAACATTGACCAACGTGTCAATGATGATTTGATCAACGTGTTGTGAAAAACCCCGCTGAGAATGGTAGTCATTTTAGTTTTATTCCTGTCATTGTTTCTAAGTGCTTTGAGACATCCTCCTGATGTGAAAGGCATTATATAAATGTGTATTATATTGGAATGTGTGTTTTCGTGCCCCACCTAATATACTATCCATTCGGCTACACACTTGTACGCTACATCCTGCATCATCTGCATCTCTTAGGCTCTGTACACTGTCAACCTGCGCACTATCTGCCTCTCCACACTGTCAGCCCATGTATTGCCTCTGTACACTATCTTGGGAGTCCTGGAGCTCAGTGGTTAGAGCACTCGCTTTGCAAGCGAGAGACCTGAGTTCAATTCCAGGCAGGGCGAAACCTTGGGCAAGTTTCCTTACTCCACACGCCTAATAATAATCCCTCCAAAAACCAAAAACAATAATAAATTGGTCATTTTCAATCTACGACTGTTTGTGGGACATTGCTGTGCGCAATTGGCTGCCGCGTTCGCCCACAAATATACAGTCAATTCACTTTACAGTGTGTTCTGTGAAGCCTTTGGGACGTCCTCCTGACATGAAAAGCGCTATATCAAATGCAAGGATTATTATTATTATCTTGTGTCTTCTATTGCTGCTGTCAAACCTCACATTAAACATCCAGCTTCCGTCAACACCATCCCCAACTCTCAGCTGCTCACACACCTCAGGGTCAAAGTTGCAGAATATGATATTACCACTGGTGAGATTATCACCAACTAAAAATGCAGTCAATGGGAATCATTGGCCTCAGGGGTGAGACCTCCCCTCCTACACCAGTGGTAACTATTCACAGGTTTTGGCCACATTTCTAGACAATGTGATAATATCGCATTCCCCAGTTGTGACCCCTGTAATGAAACATGATGACTGTTGTTGAACAAGAAATGAGAGTTTACTTTATCACCACGAGCCTGAACGTCCAAATATAAAATGTCACTGGGGGCAGAAACTCATCCCACTCAGCTCCTGTCAATCCTCGAAGTCAAAGCCATAACAGGTAGCTGGAGAAGCAGCGGGAGAGCTTGCCAGAGATAATGCTCTCAATAGCAGGCTATGCAGATTTAACTGGTTAAACTCCAGCAGTACTCTGAGGGTTCACTCCAAGCCACACTCTGGGGACCTCAAGCCTTGGCTCTTGCCAACCTGCACCTAATACTTTCCAGAATTAGATAAGCAAGATGCATTCCTCTGGGGAGAGTGTTAACATTCCATTCCAGACCCAGGAATTTATTTCCATGTGTAAGTAGCAAACTCTTACACATGATGATGTTTTAAAGTAAAAAAACAGTAAACTGTCATGACTTCAGGCACAGTGCCCACTCTCCACATCCTGGTGGTCGCTCTAAATGAGATTGCCAGGTTAATGGAAAGCTTGGCTGCATCATGGGGTGTTTAATGATGTGGCCTTACACCCTTTTAGCCCTTGGGCTGAGACAGCCGAAGCACCTTTCTAGCTGACAGAGAGGAAATGCCCCAGGTCCTTGACATGAACATACAACATGGCATCAGACTGGCTCAGTTATAGAACTCTCGCCTCTGAGTCAGATTCAAGCATTGCATTGGGATTTTGAGCTCACAGTCTAGGCTGACGTTCCAATGCAGGGGTGGGGGGGCGGTGGGGTGAGAGGTGAGGGGGACAATAGGGTGCTGTGCTGCTGTTGGGCGGGACGGGGTGTTGAATTATTATTATTCATTATTATTATTATCCAACGTGCCACTGAATGCGTCCACTGCAGCCAGCTCACTACAATCCTACAGCATTTGAAATACACATAGAATTTTCAACCAAGGAATATCCAAAGGACTAAGCAGATGTTTAAACAGAAATAAGGTCTAAAATCTCATTAAACCAAATGAACACTAAACACTCAATAAGGATAAGGAAGCGTCAGGAGTGTTAACTCCCTAGAGCCGCACAGACATAACCAACCTTGTGTCGGGTCTCACAGCGATGGCAGTCACACGTAAAGAAATACTGCTTCTCCAATTGTTTCTGGCGTTCCTGGCTTGTAGCCATGACATCAATGTAACTGACCGTGAGCTGGGCAAAGAGAAAACATTTGTAGTCAAAATAAAGTATCAGATTGAAGCCTTACAAAGTGTAACTTTGCCATTTTAAAATGACCCTGATATCAACCTAGATGTTGTCTATTCACATCGATCGCCCCATCTCCAACCTCACATTCCTCTCCCAAGGCTCTGGAATGAATCTTTGCATCCCACCTTCACTCTTTCCTCTCCCGCCATTCCCTCTTTGAACCCCTCCAATCAGGTTTTTGTGATGCCCACAACACGGAAACAGCCCTGGTCAGAGTCATTAACAATATTCTGAACATCTGCAACCAGGGATCTCTCTGTATCCTTAGCCTCCTTGACCTCTCTGTTGCCTTCAACAATGTCGACCATTCAATCCTCCTATACCATCTCTCCTCTCAATCTTCACGGGCCTGTCCTTGCCTGGTTCAAATCCTACCTCTCCCACCATTTGTCACCAATAACGGCTTCTCCTCCAGCCCCCGCACCATCACGTGTGGCGTCCCTCGAGGCTCTGTTCTTGGCCCTCTCCTATTCAATATCTATATGCTCCTCCATACCTCAGGCGCTAACAGCATCTCCCTCCATTGATGCACTTTACATCTCATGGAGCCAACACAGAACTTTGGCATCCTGTTCGACCTTCAACTGTCCTTCATAACCCATATCCATGCCATGTCCCCCTCTGCCTTTCTCCACCTCGGCAACATCATTTGGCTCCACCACTGCCTCACACCACAGGCCACCGAGACCCTCATCCACACATTCATAACATCCAGGCTCGACTATGCAAAATCCCTGGTTGTCGGCCTCCCCAGTTCCTCCCTCCATAGGCTGCACATCATCCAGAACTCTGCAACCCATGTCTTCCCCCGCACCAGGCTCCACGACCCTATCACCCCCATCCTCACCCGACTCCACTGGCTTCCCATCACATAGAGGATACAGTTCAAGATCCGGGTACTCACTTTCGAAGCCCTCCATGGCCTTGCTCCCCCTAACCCTGCCCCCTCTAAACCTCCTACCAACCTGCTCACTGTTCCGGCCTGCTTCACGTCCCCTGCCTCATTCGCCCCACCATTGGCAGGCGGGCCTTCACCCACTCTACCCCCACCCTCTGGAACTCCATCCCACAATCCCTCCACCTCGCCCCCTCCCTTGCCTCCTTCACAACTGCGCCTTCAGTCACCCTCATTGCCCCCCTGCTCCCGACCCTCCCCAATACCGACCCCCAGCTCGTGTCCGAAACGCTGAGTATCCAGCGACTTTGGACGTCCTCCTGATGTGAACGGCGCGATACAAATGTAACTTTATTGTTTGTTGTTAGAATCCAGTGCACGGTGATTTGCTGCTGAATGCATTGAATGGAGGTGGGGGAGAGGGCGGGGGACAAAACGAGGATCACTATGTCAGTCTGGATCCTGTGCTCACGTTCAGAGAGCTTTCATGCCAAATACTGGACCCAGCCTGAAGCTTCAGGAGTGACTCCTGACCCACAAAAGATTGGTACCACAGCTCCCAGCCAATGGAGGAACTGAATCACATCCTTTTATTCTCCTTCAGGGATTGAGTTACTGTGTCTAATACCTGCCACCTAGTGAACAATACATGCCCTTCACTCATAAAATCATTGCACAGAAGTTTTAGTAATCAAGGTTTAAATAACTTCTTTTGACTAGTCAAACAGCCTGAGGAAATAAGCAAGTATTCAATTATATTGTTAATAAGTGTTACCCCCTCCACTAACTACACGTTATCTGCTTTCAGCTTCAATACGTAATCCCTCTGAGTTTCCACATTACCTGATCTCACACAGAGCTGCAATGCCATTGCAACCTGGATTTTGTATCGTAAATTTCAGTCCATTTCTAAAAGTTTTAGGCTTCCAGGATGTGAATCGCTGTGTGTATACCCTCTAAAAGAGGATTTTAAATAAAACATGACGGAAGACCAGTTTCTCTCTTACAATAACTTTCGGCTGTTAGGTGCAGATACTTGACTTCACAGTACACCCTGTGAACTGCTTTTAAATGTCCTCATGACATAAAAGGCACTGTATCAAATGCAAGGATTATTATTATAATAAGCACGCAAAACATGGGAATACCCAGCTAGCAGTTACTTTATAATCACTTCAAGCCCATGTCCTTTATTTCACCGAATTCTAGGTTCAGGACTGTTTCATGTTAGTCCAATAAAAAGTTTCACACTTTATTGTTATTACGATGAAAGTGAATGAGAGGTCAGCCAAGACCTGAGCTATTGATTTCAGTGCCGAAATATCAAGTGCATACGCATTTATAACTTGGCTGTAAAAGTTCAAAGCAACATACAATATACCACTGTGACCAGCTATTAACCTTCTGTACATACACCTATCAGATTTGTTGCTTCTCAGCACATAATCTCTCTGTGTACAATACAGGGCAGGAAGGTAATGGAAGGTAGCGTATGTCCTTGATGACATGAAGGAAGGAGGTTGCCTGGCGACCGCCAAACACATCCTTATCTTGAGTACAAAGTAACTTGAAAGACTTTCAGTGTCATAACAAAAAAAGTTTATGTGAATAAAGATAGGGCTTGAAAACTAAAATCTATTTCCCTCTGAGCCCCATCGAGCATAACTCTGAAGGTTATTTGTTTCATGGCCTCCACAAATTCACATGGCTTTCCACTCTGTCGTGCCCAAAATCTCTCAGATATAATTGGGATATAGATATGTAAATTCACTTCACGTTTGTTTGTCAGACGCTGTTTTTGGGCAAACTGCTTGGCGTGTTTGTCTACAAATACATTGTCACTATACAACAACAACAACAACAAAATGATATTTGTATAGCGCCTTTCACGTCAGGAGGACGTCCCAAGGCGCTGGACAGACAGTTACGGACCCAAGCTGAGGATCGGGGTAGGGGAGGGTGGAGGGCAGGAGGGGAAGCAGTGAGATCGAAAACACGGTCGAAGAGGAGGATCTTGAGGTGGGTCTTGAAGGTGGCAAAGGAGGGGGCGAGACAGGGGGACTGCGGGATGCAGTTCCAGAGGGTGGGTGAAGAGTGGCGGCAGGCCCGCCCGCCAATAGTGGGGCAAGCAAGACGAGGACGTGAAGCGGGCCGGAGACCACTCAGTGAACAGGGTGGTAGGGGGTTAGGAGGTCGGAGAGGTAGGGGGGAGCAAGTCCGTGGAGGGCTTTGAAGGTGAATACCCCATAGTAAATCCTGTGAAACGCATTGAGACAGCTCAGCGATGTGATAAGGCATTATATCAAATGCAAGGATTATTAGCCACTGATGGAGAAAAGCTCAGTTTCTGGTGGCTGGAGCCAAAAGAATAAAAGTGCTCTTAATTCAATACTAAATTAGCAATCTCACTGAGATCACTGGGAAGAAAATTGGAAAACACCCCACTATAGCTTATTTGGGTGGATGTTAAAGATCCTATGACATGATCTGAAAATCGAAGAGAGCTTTCCTCTTGGTATCATGGCCAACAATTCTCCTGATTAATCTGTCATTCACCTCATAGCTGCTTGTGGGGCCTTGCTGGAGCAAACGATCACTGCATTTGCTTACAAAAAAATTACTTGCAAATTGTTTTGTGACGTTTTGACATTATAAGCACTGCACAGTGCAGTTCAGCACCTTGAGACATCCTCCCGATGTGAATGGCACAATATAAATGCAATTTGTTGTTGCACAGAGGCAGCCTAGATATGTAAATTCTTCTCTCCCTACCACAATAGTAGATTGTTCTCTAAGGATAAGGAATGAGGCACATTGGCAATGACAGATAGAGCTTTGCTCTGCAGTGAACCACTGTTACCTGCTGCCCAAAATGGGAACATGTTCCATTTCTCAGGATTAACATCCCTCACCTTGAACCACACAAATTCATGGAAACGCAAGCTTAAAAAAAACTAACCTATTCTCTCCTGATAAATTTGTGCGGCTTAACACAAGGACAAAAGGGGTAAAAAGTCCCAAAGACTTCTGGCAACAATAAAGTTGAAATATTGCTAATGAAAATAATTAGCCTGTGTCTGATAATATTTTCTCTCTTGCCCCTCAAAGCCAAGCCAAAACAAAATCCAGCAAAACATCTACCCTCAGTTCAGTCATAGCAAAGGGCAGCAAGTATACTGAACTGTGCCAGCAGAGTTTTGGTTTGGTCACATTGATCTTTGATAATTTATATGTGTCGTGTTTGTGGGGTAAACCAGACTTGGTTTGAAAATATACAGGTCCAAAGATTACATTGGGATATAGCGGAGGCACTTTAGCACAAACGATTCAGCATTAAAACACCCCCATAATCTTGTACTTGGCACCTGTACAAAAAACAATGTCGTAAAAGGGGTACTGTCATTATAAAGGAAAGATCGTGGATCAGTGAGGGAACCATAAACAATGTGCACAGACAGTGGGGTGTGACTTTCCCTGAAGCTTAGCCTGTGAAGCCACTGCACTTCAGTGAAACACAGCTATAGAATTCAGGTTGGTCCCACATTACATTCTTAGCCTATTCTGAGTTACCTTTCTCCTGGGACAGGAGGGAGAAAGATCAGTCAGGTGTTCTACTTGTGAATAAACATCATTTGCTTAAGAGTATGCAAACCAGACAGAGTTCTAGAAATGTATACCACCTACAAATGCAAATTCTTTTGTTTTGGAAAGGATATTTTCTCAATGGAGGAATGCATCCTGCTTATCTAATTCCGTAAAGAATTAGGCACAGGTTGGCAAGAGCCGAGGCTTGGGGACCTCAGAGTGTGTGTAGACTGTACAACAACAGCAACAAATTACATTTATATAGCACCTTTCACGTTGGGAGGATTTCCCAATGCCCTGACACTGATAACCGCACAAAAGTCTGGTAGATGTACTAGCCAAGGCTAAGGTGGTTTAATGCAATTTTTATTTTTGAGTCCAGGGTCATTATTCTTGATGTTTGTTTGGCGCCGCATAGCAACAGCGTTGATAATAAATCTGTGCATCTCCCAGATGGTACTGT